CGCCTGAGGGATGAGAGGCAGAGGAATGGCAGATCGTTAGGATGGTGACTGAGCCCCCAGCCCTGACTCAGGAGAATGCCAGAGACCAGATTGTGTGGTGTTGTCTATTATCTATCAGTAAGGGACAACCACAACTTTGACAACTTAAAAAAGCAAACAGGCTCAGATCACCCAGCCTCAGGGGGTAAGGACACTGGGAACAGCTCAGCTAGCTGCTGTCCCTGAGGGCTTGTCTTCAAGCCATGCCCATGGCTATAACAGAGAGGCAGCACCTCACCCATGGGCATCCAAACAGCTGCTGTTGACTTGGCTTCTCTCAGAGTGAATGACCAGAGAGGCAGAAGCAGACAGGGTTATAGACCCAGGATGCAGCGCAGCACCTTACAATCCCTCCTGGTTAGCTTTTTTGTCAACTTGATACAAGCTGCAGCCATCTAGGAAGAGGAACCTCAACTGAGAAAAATGCATCCATCAGATTGGCCTGTGGGTAAGCCTGTGGGGCATTTTCTTCATTAATGATTGATATAGGATGTCCCAGCCTACTGTGGGTGGTACCAGCCCTGGGAAGGTGGTTCTGAGTTGTGTCAGAAAGCAGGCCAAGGAAGCCACAGAAAGCAAGCCAGTGGGCAGTATTTCCTCCATGGTCTTTGCTTCAGTTCCTGCCTCAGGGTTCCTGAATTGGCTTCCCCTGTAACCTAGACTGTAAAATGTAAGCTGAAATAGACCTTTTCACCCCCAAGTTGTTTTTGGTCATGGGGTTCTATCATAGCAAGAGAAAGCAAACTAAGACGCAAGCCAAACTTGGAAGTGGAACACCTTCTCGATGGTGTTGAGATCTTACGAAACCCCCGGAGATCAGTAAGGTAAACGCTTTGCCCCATTGGTGCTGTGGGAGGTTATGAAGTCTTTATGGAGTACATAAAGCCAAGGGGAGTCTTTGGGGTCACTGGGTTTGTGGGGACTGTTGGACCCTGGACAATGGACTCTCACTTCCTTTTACTTCCCCAGTGAGACAAAGTGTTTGCTCTAACACACACTCCTCAGTGGTACACCCTTACAGGGCCAAATCCACAAGCTGAGAAGCCGATGCTCTTGACAAGTCTGTCGCCTTTGGCCTTGGTGACAGTGACAGGAAACAGGTCAACACATCCTCACCTTGTGTGACTTGTCTCCGAAGGCAGGGCCTTGGAGGTCAGCTTGTAGTGGTAAGAGGACATTCTTGCCTGGGACTGTGTCTACAGCCCCATCCCAACCCGAAGAGTAGAATGGCTGGCTCCTGCCTTCTGCTTCACCAGGCCCGTCTTCTCTCGAATCTCAGCTCACCCTTGTCTCACGCGTTGTGCACTGGACACGCGTCACTAATGGGTTCTTCTTGCTGGATGAGGAAATGAACTCCCGGAGACAGACCCACCCCACCACCGGTCCTGTTACAGGGAGCCCATGAGTCAGAAAACAGGAAAGAGCTGGTGACGAAAGGCACATGCCCCCATCTGAAGTACCAGAACAAATGTGACTAGGAAAGCCACAGCCCCTTCCCTACGAAGGGAGAAGAGCAAGAGAGGGGACAGTCTTCAGCCCAGCATCTCACACGTAAACACGCAAGAAAGGGCAGAGCGGGAGAGCTCAGAGAACCTGGCTTGGCCGCCAGCCCAGGAAGCATCTTTGAAGAGGAGGGTGGCTGGCAGCTTCTCCATGGGTCAGAAAACAGGGGCCAACCTCTGACCTCTCTCCAGGCTGATATTAGCTTGAGAGAACCATGAATCACTTACTTTTTTTGTCACAAACACGGTTTAATGCTTGAGAGTAAAGATCGAGCCCCAACTTAAACCACGAAGGCACCCTCCCGCCGTGCGCCCTGCGCCCTGCAAGGTGTCTTCTTACAGAACTGTAGAGTCGCCCAGAAACAAGCATCTAATTATAGCCCAGCCATCTGCGGAGCTAAAACAAGGGGCTCATCAACACTATCTTTCAGGTTTTTCACCAAGTCAGAACAATCTGCTAAAAATATCCTGTACTGTATCCGCAACGCCCCCAAACAATGTGTTTTCCCAGCACCGCAGCCTGCCAGATCCCCATAGCTCTGGAAGCCCAGGGGGAGCAAGAAGCCCAGCTGGCAGCCGCCATGGCCCTTCCTTGACTGGTTTTCATCCTGTGTGTCGTCACTGGGCCGTAGAGGACAGAGCAGAGGGAAAGTTGGGACCAGATCCCAGCCTGCCACAGACATCCAGGCAGATGCCTGCTGGGTGAGTTTCCTAGGAGCCTCTCAGGGGTCCTGGGCCAGTGGCCAGGTCCTCAGATCCAGGAATCCTGCTGGGTCTGCTGGTGCTGTCACATCCCCAACCCCCGCATAAGGGGCCCAGACACTAGCGTGCTGCCTGCATAGAGCCTCAGTGTGAATTAGAAAAACAGACAACTTCAGAAGCCACTTGCATCCTGGACTGGAGACTTGGGGCAATGCATAACCTACTCAACGGTTCATGGCCTCCTCTGGAAAACGTGCATTAGAAAAGCTAGGAATACCTGGGCCTCTGAACCACCTTTGGTCTTAAGGGACAATCAAAGCTCCAGGGCCACCCAGGTGAGAATCAGGGTGGAGGTCCTGTGCACATGAAGGCCGGCACCCTCTGGGTGCCGCTGAAGCAGGAGGGTGACTGAGAAGCCATGCTGGACATCAGCCAAGGACACCAGACCAGGTATTCGATTTGCGGTGCTAAATACAGGGGGCGTGGTGTGCAGCTGCCAGGGGCTGGAAGTAACCACCACTTTACAGCTGCAGGGAAAAGACCTTCTGAGAAGAGGGTGAGACAGAGACCGCAGAGTTTATGACCACCTGCTCTTCCTGAAGGGAACAGAGAGTCGAAAGGCAGGCCTGGAGTGGAAGGATTGAAGACCAGACAGGTGCTGGGAGGGTGAGCAGAAAGAAGCGGAATGAAGCTCGGTGCTGATCGTGTGTAGTGTGGCTGAGGGCGCCACAGCTTTGATCAAGCAATCCTCAGGAAAATGTCTCACGGAGGGTGGGTCCAGAGCTCCAAAGGCTGAAAGTCCTCTCTCACCCTGGGGGAAGGCAGTTCATGGATTATATGCTAAGAATTGGTGTGCATGTTGATACTTGAGTATAAATACAACTCTTAATTTCATCTATATTAAGAATTCCGGGGCTGGAGAGTTGGCTCAGAGGTTAAGAGCACTTGTTGCTCTTGCCAAGAGTACACAGGTTCAACTCCCAGGACCCACATGGTAGTTCACGACCATCCATAACTCCCCTTGCAGACCCAACACCCTCTTCTGACTTCCTTGGGCACCAAGCACACATATGGTGCACATAGGCATGCAAACAAAACACTCACATACATAAAATAAAATGAAGAAATTAAAAAAAAAAGAATTCCAGGGTATTTGCTGAAAGATGGAAGGAAGTTCTGAAGAAGAATGTGTATATATATATATATATATATATATATATATATATATATATATATATATACAACCTTAATAAAGAGAGTCAAAGAATAAATTTAAGGCCACATTTTAGCCCAACTATATCAATAATTAAATTTATATAATTAGTCAATTATACATATATAATATTCCAACTAAAAGACAAAGATTAAACTGGACTTTTTAAAGTATGGCTGGATATTTTTTGAAAGGCTTCCAAAACACAAGATTAGAGAAAAGTTGGAAATAAAAGTTAAGAAAAGGTCCCTGCACCTCACTGGGGCAGCACAGCAGAGCTGACCTTATCGGCAGAGGTATAGGTGATCTGGCCCCGCCCCTCATCTGCCATATGGTGGTGTATGGTGGTGTAGGGGGAGGGATGCCCCCCCAGCTCCTCTCCTGACAGGTGGGAGAGATGGCTCTGAGGTCCTAAGAGCAGGAGAGCTGCCCCTGCCCCTCACCAGCTGCCGTACTTGGGAGAGCAGGCCCTGCACCTCGCCTGGGCAGCACAGTGAGCTGGCCCTGATGGTCCAGGTGTGGGAGAGCCAACCCTGAGGGTGTGAAAGCAGGAGAACTGGCCCCACTCCTTATTCATTGCTGCAAGGGGTGAACTAGCCAGGGCAGTGCTGAAGAGCTCACCCTGGTGGTGAGGACAGGGGAGAGCTGGCCAGCTGACCAACCCTGCAACTACCCAGGCCCCGAACTGGGATTATGAGTTGGCTCACCCCAACATACAACCCATCTATGATCTGAGGGAGTACATGAAGGGGTCGGTCCTGAACACCCAAAGCTGCAGGATCTCCAGGACACAGTGTGGCAACAACAGGAGTCCCAGTGAGGGCCCAGCATTGATAGTGTAGCACAAACCAGAGGCCTCCAACCAGACCAGTGATTCTTTGCAATGAACACTTGCAAGTAAAAATATATGGACAAAGGCATACTGAGTGACTCACTGTGTCACAATGCAGCTTCCATGATGAGATTTTTTCCTTTTCTTTTTTCTCTTAATTTTTATTTTATTTGCGGGGAGGGTGCAAGGGCAGAGGGTGGATAGGAAGGGACAGGGAAATGAATGGGATATGAAATGCATGATGGGAAAGATACAATGAATAAATAAAAAGAAAGTTTTTAAAAAAGTTAAGAAAAGATGCCCAGAGCTAAGGAGATGGCTCAGTGGGTAAAATGCCTGCTGTACAGCATGAGGACCTGAGTTCGAATCTCCAGTACCCATGTAAAAAGCCAGGCACGGCAGTGTGTACCTGCAGTCTCTGTGCTAGGGGACAAAAATGGGCCAATCTCAGAGGCTCACCGGCCAGCCAGTTTAACCAAATGCCAAACTTGAGATTTAGTAGGGGACAAAGCCTCGGAAATTAAGGTAGAGAAATGATAGAAGACATTCCAGCTTCAACCTCGGACTTTCATTCATGCCTGCCAGCAAGGGTGAGCATGCCCACACATGCACATACACTACACACACATGCACGCACATTCACACGCACACTCATGTACACACCAACATATCTAGTAAAAATATACAAATAGGAAGACAAAAGATACACGGGTCCATTTTCCTTGACTATAATGGCATAATTGAGACTGGTTAATGTATGGAAAGAAGAGGTTCATTTAGCTCTCAGCATTCTGGAAGTTTAGGGCCTGGTGTCAGACCAGCTCTGGGGAAGGCCTTGTAGAGGAAGGTGTCAGAGTTCCAGAGCAGAGGCCAAGGGAGCACTTCCAGGGTGAGGCAGGTGCCCAGGGAGTGAATTTTCCCAGAGTGGTCCCTGGACATACAGTGGATGACTGTGTGCTTCAGGCTGCTCTGTTAATGATGAGGTCTTCCATGGTCCCTGGGTGGTAAGCACTGTGTGGTGGGGCTGAGGTACAGTGCCCTCCATCTTTGTGTGGTCTGACACCAAGCTGGCCTATGAAGCGCTCTTGGGCCTTTGCCTCCTCTGACCGCAGATCCTGGGAAGTGTGAGGAGTGAGACATGAGACGCATGGTGAGGGCGGAGGCGTAGCATGGATCGGTGGTAGGATGTAGCCAGCTGCGGTTCTTAGCTCCAGACTTAGCAGACCTTGCAGAACCACTCTGTGTCCTGGGCATCGCTGGGTACCAGCAGGACTGGCCCCTCCTGAGACTGCTGAGTGTGGCCATCTGTTCCTGAGCATGCAACGCCACACCTCTGTGGGCTTGTTTTCTGGCGACAACACAATTCCATAGCTTGGGAAAGTTCGGTTAGCTCGGGATTCTGGTGAAGATGGTGGTCTGGCCTGACAGCTGAAGCATGGCAATGACTCTGGGGCACTTGTGGAAGGAAGAGAGTTGCTCAGGGGATGAGTTGGTTCCTAATGACTCACTGTTTGAGAGGTCCCAAGGGTGTCTTGTAATCCCTTCTGAGGACAGTACCCAATGGCCTAAGTAAGGGCTTCCCACCAGGCTCCACCTCCTAAGGGTCCCATTGTCTTCCCACCTCACTCTCTAAGGAGCCAGCCCCCGACACTTGGAACCCAAAGGGACACTCAGCCTTCTACAAACTATAGCACCTCCAAGACCCAAAAGGCACACCTAGCCTGTGCTTCTCCCTGGTGCAGAACTCACCATTATTGTCCCATCACCCCTTGGGCTATGGCTGTCATGTACTATGAGTAGAGCAGGACTCTCCTCACCTCCAGAGAGTACACATTCCACTCCATCCTTGGTGCTCCATGCCATCCAGGGTGCCTGCCACCTGTTGCTGTTCAGGTCTGGTTGCCATGGTATCCTATCCCTGTGGAGATCAAAGGTCATACAGTCCCATACCTTCCAGCAGCTCCAGTATTACATCACAGGAGACACTCTGGAGTCCTGGGGAAACTCAGGAGGACTGTTCTGGCTTCCGGCATAAGAGTGCAAGCTGCCTGGGGTCCTCCTTCTGGGGTAGGAAACAGTGTTCACCAGATCAACTGTTACGAAACTTACTCCGGTGTATAAAACCCATGTGGCACATCGGTGTGACTGGGCAGTAGCCAGGTGAACTTTTCAGTGTTTGCACCCTCAGTAACTATGTTCTATGAGGTCTTTGAAGGTGGACGCTGATGGTTTAAATTACAGCATGTTAAGCTAAGTACTAGGGAACGGAAGAGGGACTAGAACCCACGACAGAGACTTAAAGCCATGAGAAGGGCAGCACCCATCCCCTTAGACAGATGCCATGTTTTGTTTACTCTCTTGGCTATCGGGAGAACCTCAAAGACATCCATTGGGCATCAGCCCTTTACACAGGCCAGGGAATGAATCTGTGGGTTCTGCCAATGGCTGAAGCCTGGTCAAGTTAACCTCTCAAAACCCAGGCCATGGGCTGGAGAGATGGCTCAGCAGATGAAGTCCATGGCACACAATCATAGTGCCTGCATTTGAGCCTCAGCACACACACAAACATCCTGTCACGAGGCACCATAGCTGTGATTCCCGGGGCAGGGAGGAGGGCACTCCAGAGGTCACTGGCTAGCCAACCCGGCTAAACTGGCGAGTTCCAGATTCTATGAAAGAACTTTTTAAAAATACAAAGTAGAGAGTAAGTGGGGAAGACAACTAACATTGACCTCTGGCCTCTAAAGACAAGTGTGAATGCATACCTGTACCCATGAACAGGTGCACACATACCTGCACACATGTGCACACATGCTCAACACACACACACACACACACACACACACACACACACAGAGAGAGAGAGAGAGAGAGAGAGAGAGAGAGAGAGGGAGAGGGAGAGGGAGAGGGAGAGGGAGAGGGAGAGGGAGAGGGAGAGGGAGAGGGAGAGGGAGAGGGAGAGGGAGAGGGAGAGGGAGAGGGAGAGGGAGAGGGAGAGGGAGAGGGAGAGGGAGAGGGAGAGGGAGAGGACCCAGGCCATGCGCCTAGTGCACAGACTCCATAGTCTCTTGATTCCTACATCCCCCTTTCCTAACTCAGGCCATAAAGGCACTTTTAATTTCAGAGTCAATTCGGGCTGCTTTTCAGGCTGCACCACCCTGAAAAGCCTGGCTAGCTTCCTTTGCTGTGATAGGGTCACTCAAGTGAAATATCATGGTCCTTTTGGAAGGGCTGAATGAGTCATAGCTGTGTGCGCTCACCAAGAGGTGTGAGGCTGTCTTCGAAGACTGTCCTCAGGGGCCCAGCACAGCTGATCTGACTGTTTCTCCAGTCCTTGAGTTGTGATCATTTCCTAACAGACACTGACTAAGGCATGGAAAGGGGACAGATGACCATGGCCTCCCATAGTCATGAATCCATTTCTTAAAAACTCTGACCTGTAGAATATCCGAACTGTTCACATTTAAATGTCCAGTGAGTCATTTCCAGGGTACTCACAGGGTTGCAGAGTCTCTGTCACTATCTAATCGAGGACCCCTCCATCACCACAGAATGAAGCCCTGTGCTAAAGGCTCCTGGGCCCACACCCCCTTCATATTAACATGTTCATCCTCATGCTTTAGTTGGGGTCTGGCTTGCCACCCAGCAGAGGGGTGATGGGACTTTTAGAAGGCAAAGCCTACAGGAGCCTGATTGACCACTTCTCTGGTTCCCTTTTTTACCATGTGACCTCTTCTTCTTTCACAAGCTCCCCCAAAATGCCATCTGCCAGCCACAGAGGCTTTCAGCAGAGGAGGTGTGGATGGGGCCACCTGGTCATGGGTTTTCAGCTTCCACATCTGTGAGCTAGAAAAACTTCACATCATTAAAAAGCACACAACTTCAGGTGCTTTGTCACAAGTACGGAAAACTAACTAATGCACTTTGTATGGATTCTCCCAGAGAACTGACTTGCACAGAAATGAAATCACACAAATAAATGCATTTTTTTTGTTCCTGACTTCTTTTATCAGCATGATATTTTTGAATTTCCTCCATGTCAAAGCATGTACAGGTGTACCATTCTTCTTAATGGTTGAATGACATTCCCTGGTATGAGCACACCACACTGGTTCATCCATTTGTCCTTCCATGGATGTTGTTTGTGAAGCCACTCCCTACTCTTCTGATTTCAACTGTGAGGCAATGTCTTCATGGCTGCCTGCCTCCTGGACCCCAGAGAACACCTCTCCCACTGTTCCCTAGAGCTCTGAAAACCAGGACACTGACGCCTTTCTCCTTATTTGGAACTTGCTTGGAGTCCATTATGTTAATCACCCCCACCTTGAGGAATCAAGGTGGGGTACCGCTAAGTGCCGCTGCCTGACCCCTGATCTCACAGATCCTGGGAGCCCTGCTCTGGAGCAGTATCTTCTAGCATCAGCCTGAAGATGAAGGACGGCCACCCTGAGCTCAGTCATACCAAGAGTGCTCCCCTCAGGAGCACTTAGCTAAATCTAAGGTTGTATGCTTGGGAATGTGCCCCTCAGCACTGTGCTCCAAATCCAAGGTTGTGTGCTCAGGAATGCTCCTCTCAGGAGTGTGCTCTGAATCTAAGGTTGTGTGCTTGGGAGTGCTCCCCTCAGAAGTGTGCTCCTAACTGCCAGGCCCTGTGTTCAGGCCTCAGCAGTGCCCTCCCTGTGAGAGTGCCGTGCTTGGGAGTGCTCCCTGGGCAGTGTGCTCCTTATCATGAGGGCTTCGTTCTTGGAAGTGCTGGCCTTTATCAATGTGCTCCCCACCAAGGGCCCAGTGTCTAGTGATCAGCCCAACTTTCCTCACTGAAAGGAGTAATCAGGAAATGGGGGGGGCGGCTAAGAAAGCATTCTGGAACATTCTGGAACCAAGGAAGCCTTGACATAGTAACTGTGTCCAAGGCCATGCCATGGGGCAGCAGACACCCGGAGCATAACCCTGGACATCTGGAGCAGCTGGCAGCCCTGACAGTGTGTGGATTCTAGCCATCACTTCAGAGCTGTTCTTCTCCCCAGGAGTCTGGGTCCCCTGCAGGAGTGTCTGGAGCCTGAGCCAGGCTGGGCTGGGTGGTGTGATAGCTAATCTTGATTGTCAACTTGACTGCATTTCCAATTATCTAGAAAGCACACTTCTGATGTGTCTGTGAGGGTGTTTCCACAGAGGTTTGGCTGAGGAGGAAAGGCCCACTCTAAATGTGGGTGGCACCATGCCATGGGCTGGGCCCAGCCTGATGGAAAGGGGGAACAGAAGAAAACCAGCTACACACCAGCATTCCCTTCCTCTTTTTCTGTTCCTTAGCTCCATGTAACCAGCTCCAAGGATCCAATGTCCTCTTCTGATTTCCATGGGCACCTACACACACATACAAACACACACATACACATACAAACACATACATACACATACACACACACATACATACATACATACACACACATACATACACACACACATACATACATACACACAAACACACACATACATACATACACACAAACACACACATACACACACACATACAAACACACAAACACACACATCCACATACAAACACAAACACATACACATACAAAAACACACACACATAAAAACACACACATACAAACACACACATACACATAAACACACACACACATACACACACACATACACACACACACACACACACATACACAAATAAATTGAAAAATAAAAATATCCCCTACGTGTCCCTTAGTAAAAGGCAAACGTGTGGGCATCCCTCGGCTCTGTCTCAGAGCTCATACACGCTTTAAAAGATAAGTGTCTCAGATGTTACCATAGCAGTGAACTTCAGTTAGAATTTTGGGATCTAGAGAAAAACCAAATTTTTTATATACCCTGGAGTCACTTTTCTCCACAAGGGATACACCACATCCTTCACTCTCCATGCCTCTCACTCTCCGTGTCCCCCACTCTCTGCACCCCCAATTTTCTATACACACACGTACACACACACACACTCCCCACACACACTCCCCACACACCCCCACTCTCCACACACCCCTACTCTCTATGACCCTCGCTCTCCATTCTGCTCACTCACCACATCCCTACCCTCCATACCCCTCACCTACCACTCCCCAACTCCTACTCTGATCAGGCATCATATTCCCCAAATGTGGACTCACTCCAGACATTGTGGTCACTCCAACCAGTCCTTTGGCTCTGCACTTCCTGTCACCAGCAGTAGCAATGGAAACCAGCTGACTTATCCTATCCAGTTAATTTTTTAAAAACATCAAAATTTGTTGGTGTATGGGTTGGTTTTCTAGAGCTCCCGTAACAAAATACCACAAACTGAACAGTTTAAACAACTGAAACTTCCTTTCTTACAGTTCTAGGGACTGGAAACCTGAGACCAAGGTGTTGACAAGTTTGGCTCCTGGGAGGCCTCTCTCCTTGGCTTGCAGACAGCTGCCCTCTTGTTACCTGGTCACATGATCTGTCCTCTGTGCATGTGCTCTGATGGTGTTTTCCCAGGTGTCGGACCTTCCTTTGTCAGCCCGACTTCTATTCCTGTGACAAATCTCTGCAATAAGTCGATATACGAGGAGGAAAAGGTCACTATGGCTCAGTGTGAGAGGTGTCGGGCTGTGCTCGGCAGCCCATGACTCGGGGGTGGAGGGTCCCCTGAGCACAGCAAGGTGGAAGGGTGGGTCTGGGATCCCCTTTATCCCAGGGCCCAAAGAAAGGAAGAAAGAAGGGGCAGGTTCCACTTCCTTTCAACAGGGCTCTTCCTAGGCCCCACCTCTTAAAGGTCCACCAACTCTGAAAGACACCAAAGGGCGGGGAACCTTCAACAGCGTGCCTCTGGGGAAAATTCAGGTTCCCATTCAAACTCAAGCAGCCCCCCTCATGGTGCCTCTGGCCAGCCTGGATTAGGATCCACCTGTAACCTTATTTTAAAGACTCCCATCTCCAAACACTCACAGGTGGGGGTGTTGAGGTCACAGAGTCCGCAGATGGATTGTGAGATGATACAGTTTCAGCTCTCACTGTGTGATACTAATCACGGTTATCAACTTGATTGGATCTAGAGTCCACTAAGAGCCAGACTGCCAAGCAGGTCTGTGAGAACATTACCAGGAAGAGTTAACTGAGAGAGTACCTGTCAGCAGCAGTTGCCTAGACAGAAAGAGGTCAGAGGAACTTAACCTGCCTGCCTTTGGGTTTTTTTGTATGTTTGTTTGTTCATTTTTGTTTTTAATACAGAATACCACTATATGGTCCTGGCTGGCCTGGAACTCCATATGTAGACCATGCTGGCCTCAAACTCACAGTAAAGGCATGTATCACCACTCCCAGACTGCTTTGCTGATACTGAGCTTGGAACCCATCTTCTTTGGCTTCCCTGCTAGGACAAAACACCAGCGACTCTGGGATTCCTCAGACCTTCAGCACCAGACTGGGGCTGCTGAGGTCTCCAGCCTGGTGGACTGACTGGGTTCTCAGCCTCGCTTGTGTACAGACAGCCATTGCTGGACTCTGCACATCCTGTAAGTCAGTCTAATCAATGTGCTATGTAATATATAGTCATCCAATTGGGGTTCTGTTCACATAGAGAATCCTAACTAAAATGCAGTTTGACGCCATGTTGAGTGCTTGTCTGGGGAACACACTGCTCAGCAGTGTGTCCGTCCATATCTTCATTCCTTGGCCATGCATGTCTGTTCACTCCCTGGAGAGCAATCCCTGCCTCCAGAGCAGCCATTGCCTTTTCTCTACAACCCCCACACTTTGCTCTGGCTGCTTGCAGTGTGATTTTGCTTTCAGTGGGATGTGAGGGAACGGATACTCCTTAATGTGTTCTTCCTGCAACACGTGCTTTGGAACGAAGGAGGCAGCAATCCAGGAGTGTGATTTCGGAGCCAGAAGTAGGTCAGGCTGGCAGTGCTGGGGATGGTAATGACAGTGTACAGGTTCATGAGGTCATCGCTTGGAATCCTGTCACAGCTGCCGGCTGGTGCTGGAGATGGGAATGTGAAAGCTCTCTCTGGGCTCCATAGGCCTTTGCTCCATATAAAGCAAAGCTCTGTGGGAGGGGAGAGGGAGGGGGAGGGAGGAGGGGAGAGGGGAGAGAGGAGAGGGAGGGGGAGGGAGGGAAGAGGGAGGGAGAGGGAGGGGGAGAGAGGGAGGGAGGAAGGGGAGAGGGAGGGAGGGAAGGAGGACTCGCTGCCATGGAGCTGGGCTTGGGGTATTTCTTCCTTTTTTTTTTTTTTTTTTTTTTTTTTTTTGGTTTTTCGAGACAGGGTTTCTCTGTGTAGCTTTGCACCTTTCCTGGATCTCGCTTTGTAGACCAGGCTGGCCTTGAACTCACAGAGATCCTCCTGGCTCTGCCTCCCAAGTGCTGGGATTAAATGCGTGCGCCACCACCGCCCGGCCGGCCAGGGTATTTCTTGAAGACACACTTTGCGGAGGGAAGTGGCAGACAGACGATGTGCAGAGCAGAGAGCGTGGACGCTAACAGGTGCTTTCTGTGCATGTGGCCTCACCTCCTGCCACACCCTCCAAAAACCATCCAGTGCGAACAAAGGTTTGTCTTTCAGGCAAAACACAGCCTCCACTTCCATGAAGACCTCTCTCCCTCATCCCTCCAACACTACCTCAGTCAGGGCAGCAAATGGAGACTTTGTGAACACGTTTCCTGTCCCGTGCTGACTTTCCCAGGCCACCCGAGGCACAAACTGGCCACCTTGGACTGCTCTTGTGTGACTGCTACAGTTTTTGTACCAGCTAAAAATTCAAAAGCTTCTCCTTGAAGAAAATTGATTTTCTAGGCTTTGTAACAGAACTGGAAACTCTAGTGATCCAAAAAAGCCACCACCAAGGGAGGGCTCCACTCAGCTTCAGGCGCAGCTTCTACTGCTTGCCTGAGTGGTCCCTGTTCCTGTTGCCCCTGCAAGGGGCAGCAGGCAGTTGAGTCAATGCCCTCCACTGTAGCGCATTCAAGTGAGAGTTGAAGAGAAGCTATGCTTTCCCCTCTGATACTCATTCTGAAAGGCTGCTTCACAATGGCCATTCTTGACCTGGAACTTGGTGGTTACACCCCGCAAGCTCTGGGTTGCATTACCTCATGCTACACCGTGCTAAATGTTTGGTGTGTGCAAGCTCTTTGGGACCTCACAACACCCCCAGGAGGTGATAACGATATTGCCCCCATATTACAAGGGAGGAAACTGAGGCTCAGGCAACTTGAAGTAACTTTCCCAAGCCCTATAACTTATGAGCAGTGACTCCAAAATAAAAATTCTTGCCTGCTCGGCTCACTGCAAGCTAAGTTCATGAATACATGGTAAGGCCTCTGCCTGGGCATGGGTGGGGGGAGGTCTACCACTCACAGCCAACTTCTCAGGACACCGATGGTCTCCTGTCACTTCTGCCTCTGGTCTGCCAAGGTAGAGACCATCCTCACGTGGGGACTCATGAGGTAGGCAGCCTGGAGCCTACGTGCTCCGATTTTGATGGAGTCACACAGAACCCTGTGACTCCCTAGTGGCTGTACAAAAGCAGCCTAGGGAATCAAGAGGCTCTCAAAACACACACACACACACACACACACACACACACACACACACACACACACACACAAGCATAAAAAAGTAAACTGACAGCTGTGTCCATCTGCTGGAGCTGCCAGGACAAAATTCCACAGGCTGGTGGCTTCCACAATGGAACTGTATTCTCACTATTCTGCAGGCTGGAGATTCCAGATCAAAGTGTCCTGGGGAGCCCCTCTCAGTGACTGGCAGGTGACTGCCTTCTCATACGGGCTCATGCAGCCTTTCTCCTAGATGCACAGAGATGGGGGGCGGGGCTCTGGTGTCCCTTTCTCTTCTTATAAGGCACCAGCCTTATCATATTAAGACTCCACCTATGAACTCATCTGACCTTATTCACCTCCCATAAAGCCTGGCTCCAAATACAGTCATACTGCTGGGTGCCAACACAGAAACTGGGTGAGGACACAAACATTCATTCCTTAACCAAGGTCCCTGTTTTTGTTTGTGTGCTTGCTTTTCATTTTTAAATAAAAACCCAAAACAGGGCTGGAATGATGGCTCAGCTGGAAGGCTCTTCCTTCCAAGCCTGACAACCTGGACCCCATGGGGCAGGAAAAACTTATCTCTAGCCTCCACACGCACACCACGGCAGGTGCACACCCATTCAAGGCCCCACACACATAAAAATAAACAAATACGTAAATGTGAGAAAGTTCCAAACAAAGATGTGAAGAGATTTTTTTAAAGTCAGGTATATGTGTGTCTGTGTGTGGGTATGTGCACGTGAACACAGGTGCCCTGGGAAGCCAGAGGCTCCCTGGGGCTGGAGTTGCAGGTGGTTGTGAGCTGCTTGATAATTGAATCCTGAGCAACCAAGGCATCCACGCTCTTAAGCACTGAGCCACCTTTCCAACCTCTGAAGGGACTTTTCACACCAGTGAACGTATTTAATGGGCCCATCTCTTCCCTCAATGCTCTCCCCCAGACCTTTTCCTCCCCATCCCAGTTCCCACCCCCAGACACAACCTGCAGTTTCCAGGTTCTCCTGGAACCTGTTCCCGATTCTCCTCCACTCTGGCTACCTCTGAGCTGATCTATTGCTCTGTTATCACTTCTTCGCCTTCCACGGCTCTGGACCACCACGAACCAGAGGCTTTGCCTGTCACCAGTACCACAGAAAGAGCCTCCTGAGACAGCCATCTCTACAAGGAAAGAAAGATGGTGTCTTGGCTAAGTTCTTCTCGTGCTGCTTCTGCCCGTCTCTCTTAGGACCCTTAGATGTTTCCAGGGTCCAGAAGAAGGTTTTTCACCCTGGAGAGTAGACCCTAGGGAAGGAGAAGAAGGAGGGACACCTAGGAACCCTGAATATATGAGCCTTCTCTAGACAGGAGCTGGACACAAGCAACAGTGCATTTGAGACTGTCAGGGCCCCGGTCACCATCCAACTCCAACCAGGTGGGACCCCAAGTAGAAACAGCTTGGCTGTTTGAATTTATGCCGCTCTGTCTGGATGGATTGTTACACAGCAGTAGTTAACTGACCCAGCAACCTGGGCTGTCTAGGATCCCACTCTATCCTCTGATCTAGGCAGATCAAGGTTGAATCTTCCCTCTCACTGGCTCACACTGAGGGCTGCAGAGGTCTAGATGCAGAAAAGCATGCCCAGCCTTTCCCAGCGATCCACCCAACTGGGACAGAGGTATCCTGGGAATGTGGCCTCCATGCCGAGGCCTCTAACTGGATGGGGTGAGGGTGGGGGCCTTGTCCTCTCATGGGAGGAGTCTGACCGAAGTAACTAAGGAATAGATGTGCCCCATCACACCCCTAGCCTATGGTGTCAACTCTAAGCTGGTTGTCACATTTGGCCATGGTGCCGAGCCAGCTGCCCCTCTGTTCCTCCAACAGCATTGCCCAGCTTAGTGTCATTTTTTGGGTCTAAGTCGGTCCTGCTGGGGTCCAGTGGCAAGCTAGCCTTTGATCCTCTGGCCCCTGGTGGAAGGTCTCATCTCGTCCATCTTCCAGAGCCACAGACAGACATAGCGTCAGAACCCTCTATCCTGCTGCAGCCCTGCAGAGAGGCTCTCTCTCTCTGGCAATTTGTTGTACCAGGTAATATTGGTCATGGTAGGAGAGTGCTCAACTTCATTCTGGAGTCACAGTTCAATCCTAGGAGTAGCTGGGTATTTTCTGTGTATCCAGATTCTTAGTGTGTTCACAGAAGTTTTCTTACCCAAAGAACTAAGACTAAGGGGTTGGGGATTTAGCTCAGTGGTAGAGCACTTGCCTAGCAAGTGCAAGGCCCTGGGTTCGGTCCTCAGCTTCGGAAAAAGGAAGAAAAAAAAGAACTAAGACTGAGACAATACTCTGTGGAGTTGCAAGAACTTGTGTGTGAAGGGGAAGAATCCCTTCCTCCAGCCTGTGCTTCAGTTTCAGTGACCACCACGAGCCTCCTCAACACTCTTGCCTTCTCCAGCAAACAGATGCCTCTGCGCTTGCTGAATTTACGGGTCACCATTCATTGTGCCATATCACTAGGTGGTAGGCAATGGTACATACAGAGAAACTGAGGCTTGGAGACATGAAATGGTATGACTAGATTCCATTCCAGTGTTCATGTCCTATGATGGTATAGGATGACACAGAATGTCGTCTCCAAATCGTGTTAGAGAGACTGAGCCAGACAGGTGGTAACTCACAGGATTCTCCTGCTGTTAGCTGAACCCAAACTGAGACTACCGTTCCCCTGTGGCAGTTTTCAAATATGTTCACAAGTTCTTTGTAAGTCTTGTGGTCAATCTGTTCTCTGAGTGTGAGCTACATGTAGTGACTCATTTCCAGGAACAGGGATGAATCTTGAAAGTGTGCAAAGTCAATACTGGTGTCTGGGATTCCCCCAGTAGATATTCAAAGGGTTGTGAGTGCCTGGAGGATGGAGACCAGGTGTCATCATCTTCTTCCTCCTCCTCCTCTTCCTCCTCCTCCTTCTTTCTGATTTTTTGTGTCAGGGTTTCTCTGTGTAACAGCCCTGGCTGTCCTGAAACTCCCTTTGTAGACCAGGCTGGCCTTGAACTCACAGAGATCTGCCTGCCTCTGCCTCTGGAGTTCTGGAATTAAAGGCTTGCACCACCACCGCCCAGCTCACAGTGTCTGCTTTTGCTCCCAATACCACGCACTCTGCCTGAGTGCTCAACAGCTTCTTTACTGAGAGATGGGAGTCGGGGGATGGGGGGAGGAGGAGAGAACTGCAAAGGTGTTTCTCTAGAGATGTTTGTGGGTTTGATACAGCAGAGGTGATCAGGAAATGTGGGCAAAGAATAAAACATCAAGAGATGTTCAGCAGCCTGCCACCATGGTGAGATGGAAGCCGGGACTCACAAAACACAGTGCTCCTGGGAACCCTCTAATATCGCCACCTGTATACCTGCTAACTTTGTTTCTTTAACAAAGTGTCCGAGACTAGGTACTTTACAGAGAAGATAGTTTGGGGCTGGAAAGCTATTTCGGCCATTTAGAGTGCCTGCTGCAGTCTCAGAGAACCTGAGTTCAGTTCCCAGCACTCACAGAGGGGCTGTTCACAACCCTAACGTAACTCCAGCCCCAGGAGACCCAACACCTTCTCCTGACCTCCAAGAGCACCCACATGCATATCACACATACACACACACACACACACACACACACACACACACACACACACACGCAATCTCCTAAAAAAGGAAGAAGATTGTTTTTATTTTACTCACAGGTTAGAAGGCTAAGCATCCAAGATCAGGCAGATCCATGTGTCCGGCTCTGGTGAGGCCCCTTGGCTAGGTCACAGCACAGCCGAGAAACAGATAAAGCCAGATCTGAGGAAGACGTCACTTTGGGAGACACTGGGGACACCATCCTTGCTTTTATAGAACTCCTTCTAGCTCCTGGAGACTGGAATTAATCCCTGCGGAGCCACGCCCCCGATGGTGCAACTCCTCCCGTTAGGCCCCACCTCTTAAATGTCCCACCACCTCAGCACCATAATATCTGGCCAGGCCTCCAACGCTTTGTTTGACAAACCTAGCTAAGCCACAGTACCACCATCTGCGTGAGAAGATTCCAGGTGCTCTATGTCAACATGGCACTCTACCTTTTCAGGAGACTTGGAAGTTTTTAGGACTTAACATGTACTGTGAACCCAGGTTAGGAGATAATTTTCATGTGAAGAACTTTCCCACTGCTTGAAATAATAATAAAGCATTTAATAAGAAGCTCTTGTTTGGGGAAATTCCTTTGGTCCTTTATCTGTGAATATTATACCAAATATCCTAAGCAAATATGCTAACAACTGCATAATAAAATATGTTAATTAAATTACTCTAAAAACTTCTCAAACAAATCTGGAAAATCAATTTTTATAAATAAGCACAATACTATTATATTTAGTTGTAGTTTGAGTTCGTTAAGCAAAGTGAATCATCATGGCCTTGCCTATTTATGCATAAGAAACTGGATGCTGTGAGAATGTGTGTATGTGACTCCCCCGTTGAAATTCAATCATTTGAAGAAAGTGGAATCACTGTGAAGTTGGTATGGTGACACCATGTAAATTTTGTTGTGCCATATGGTCACTTCTCAGAGTCCCTCGGCAGTAGGTGTTAGCATCCCCTTCATATATCCAAATCTACAGATGTTTAAGATCTTTGTATAAAATGGGCTTAGTACTTCCAAAGTACTTGCACAAGACCTTCACAGTCCACCTGCAGACTTCAAATCATGGGTTATATGCGATTCCTAACACGAG